ACTTACTATGTGACCCTGGGCAAACCACTCAGCCTTCATCTGCCTCATTTTCTTTAACTGTAAGGTGGGGATAATAATAACACTGACCTCCCAAAGTTATGGGGAAGATCAATGAAATAACATCTATAAAGCCCTTTGCAAACCTTAGAAGATCTATATAAAAGCTAGCTGTGAATAAGTATTTGTTGGATTAGTTGCTAGCTGACATCTATAAAGTATTTTACAGAAAGATTGAGCTGCTTGGACTGAATCACTTGTTTTGGTGCCAAAAGGTTCAATGCTTAATTAGTTCGTAATAGAGCAAAATTTTGAGTTGGCTCTAGATTTTTTTTCTCTTTGGATAATTCTTCAGGCCTTTGCGTTGTGACCGTGCAGCTATCCCTTTATCCTTCCCCAAGTTAGTGTTGATGGTGCTTATGCCAGAGTGGCCTCATAAATAGCCAAAGCTATAGAAACCTCCCACTGCAACCAAGCACTTGCACTCGGACTTAGCCCTCTCTCTCAATGTTTCCCTCTCAGGCTAAGACTTCCCACATTCCTACTTGTTTCTGTTGTATTGTCAAGAAGAAAGCTTGGTTTGATTCTGGTGGATCAAGAGGAAAACATGTAGGTGACTTGGGGTTTGGGCAGTGGGGAAGAGTCAGTAAAAAAAAAAGTCGTCCAGTTGTGACATGCTGAGGTTTATAGATGACATATCCTGCTTACTTTGGTAAAGTTGAGGTTTAAAAACCGGCCTTTTAAGAGAGGGAATGGATAGATATGTCTAGAAGCTCAGAATTTCCATGGCTTATGAGCACTTCATTGAAAATGCTAATGATGTTGACCTGAGGAAGAAACAGAATCATGGTTTGAGCAATTCTCCATGTTGAAAGGAGACTAGAACTAATGAGATTAAAAAAAATAAGAAGGAAGGAGAGAGACATGGAGAGAAGCAGACAGAAAGGCAGATAGATGGATAGAGCCAGACAGACAGACAGACGGATAGGCAAATAGGACACTTATTGAATACTATGTGCCAGGAAGTATGTTAATAACTCAGGATACAAATTCAAGCAAGGAAAGATAACATATAAAAGATAGCTGGAAGGGGGAGGAAATACACTTAACAATATGTGGTGGAGATGGCCATGAAGTGTTGTGGAGGTTTGGTGGTCAAGATAAGGTAAAAACTCCCCTAACAGAGCCCAGCATCTCATGGGCAGGGTCCAAGCTTCTGGTTGGAGGAGGATAGGGGTTATGGCCAGAATAGAGGTGGCATGGCGTGGGGATGGCCAGAAATGATGCAGAGACAGATATTGGACTGGATGAGCTCTTTACATTCCCTTCCAACTCTGACATTCCACGAGTCTGGGATCTAAGGCCTGGCCTGTTAGTGGTCTTGATTCAATGTTATGTTTCCACTCTTGTCCTACAATCTTCCTTTATGCCTTATCATGGTGTGAAGGTAACCTTGGATTCTCAGAGTCTTTGCCAGCAGGACGTGAGCTCTGGCAGGCCCTCCTAAGCTGGACGTGCTTCAAGCAGCCCAGTGATGGATTATATGTTGGCTGTTGGAAGAACAGCTTAACTAAATGTGCAGAGGCTCGTCCCCAGACAGTTATCTCCCAGAGGATAAAATTTTTGGTCACGACTCATAGTGACCATCCCCTAGGCGAAGGAGGGGTAGTGATTTGCATTGGTGGAGATATTTTCCACGTTAATAACATCTGGATTTTTGAAGCATCAACTTCAGAAACATGTTCATTGGTGGGAATCAAGAGGGTCATCAATAGGGTTTAATCATTAGGGTTTTAGAAAGTGCTTCAGGTAGGAGGCACTTCCTGATACCAGGTCTTCAGTGTTACAGGGGAAGGCAAGGATGTGTACCAGGTGCTAAATCAGGAACAGAGCCCCTTCCCAGAGTTGATGCCATGCCCAAATAGGAACCTTCTGTGCATGAACTGAGATTCTGAGACCTGCTGCCTCATTCAAAAATACTTTTTCCTTATGCTTCTGAAACTTAACTTGCCCAACTCTAAGCAGGCAGGCCAGTATTCCTCAGAATTCTAACTAGATGGAGCCCAAGCCAAAGGCTAAAGAGAAAAAGGTACACCTGATGGTATCAAATATAAATCCTGTGGCATCAGGCAGGTCTGTGAATAGTCTGCCATTGGCATGCCAATGCATGCCATAGTTAATGTCAGGATCAGGGATTACTGTAAGTGTGCATAGGGTATGGGACAAGTTTGCCATAGAACATCATGAACACCTGGCCATCAGTGTAGTCTCAGTGATTTCTTCCAATGCAGTATCTCGAGTTTTTTCCTTTATCTTTTGCATTCTCAGTACCTTTATTTTTAATATACATATATATATATGTGTGCTTTAATCCACTGCTTGTGATGAGAGAAGAAAGTGGGATGTTCTGAACACAAGAGAATAGTACATCGAGTGGTAGTTGTCAAAACCACAGGTTGGTTTCTAGATTGAAAGGAATTGAGGTGGTTTGAAATATTGCTAAAAAGACATAGACTTTCATCAACAACAAGCTGCTAACAATGGCAGTAACACCCATTTGTGTATAGCCAAAGGACCCATGAGGAGTGGCCATGTGACTCAGTGGAGTTTCTGCCAGCAACCCCCAGATGTGATGGAGTGCCCCCATCTTTGTGGCTGCAGTCTGTGCCCTCCTGTTCCATTCAGTGTCATCCCCATTCTTTAAAATGGTGCCACACGCTTTGTGTGTGTGTGTGTGTGTGTGTATGTGTTTGTGTGTGTTCGCACACATGTGTCGCACTCAGAGATGTAGGTCTTTGGCCCAGGGCAGAGCCATTGTCTGGATCAAGGATGATTGGGGAAAATGTTGAGCTTTGTGATTTTCCATGTCCTTAAACTACTCAATAGTTACTCTTCACTATTTATCAGTTTATCAGGTTCCATCATTTCCATTGATTTCCCCTCTTTTAACTGTTTTTCTCTTTTTAATGCCCTAGTGTGCCTGCTATTATGGCCTTTTTATCCCATTCTAAGAATCTTAGACACTAAACTTATTGACAGAATGAGACAGAATCTCATTCAGTTTGTACCCCCTTGATCTCTTTTACTTTATCAATCCCCAAATCATGTACATAAAGAACTCCATCCAGTGTAAGCGTAGGGGTGCTACCAGATCCATATGTGTGTGTGTGTGTGTGTGTGTGTATGTGTATGTATGTATGTATGTATGTATGTATGTATGTATTGACCTGAAGATACTCGCTATATAGCCATAGGCCCCACATTGTGGCCCATGTCATAAAACACTCTAGTTGTGGGAAATACAGTTTAGGAAGTACATTATTAAATTGGAGAGAATTGTGAATGGACTAGAGACCCTGGCAGTATGAGAATTGAATTGGTTGAATGGTCTAGAGATGATTGGTCTAAAAAATGACTTTTTAGGATTCTTTAAATAGATGAAGAACTATTGTATGAAAGAAGGATTAACTTCCTTCTGCTTGGCCCCAGAGGGTGGAACTACAGTAATAAATAGAAGTTGCCTTGATAATAATTTGACTCCAGTGCAAGGAAGAATTTCCTACTGATTAGACCCCTCTCGCGGTGGAATGGGATGCCAGGCAAGATACCGTCATCAGTAGAGATTAGATGACTTGGCATGTATTTGATGGAGGGGATTCTTGCTCTGGGGTAGAGATTAGGAATAATGTCTAAGGTCTCTTTGAGTTCTGGCATGCCATGATTCTCTGGTTAATACACAGGTGTATAGAGTCAAAACCTAGCATGACCAAGGAATGGTGGATTTTTTTTTCTTCTGAGAAATTTACATGATGATAATCACTTGCTCACTAAAAAGTGTTTCTACAAATTGCTTTTTAATGACACTGTGAAACTGGGAAATGAAACAAACATCCCTTTGGAAATTAAGTCATCAAAGGATTTTATCATTGGAAGGATTTTGGAGGTCATTTAGTCTAGGCTTCTATCCAATTCATAGATCTCTAATAAAAAATCATCCAGCTGCTGCTCAAATACTTCAACTCATTGGGCTCTAGCTACATATTAAAGAAGCCCATTTAGGGCATGTCAGTCAATTGATAGATAGGCCAGTCAACAAGCATTTATTAAGCACCTAGTATGTGCTAAGGGCATCTAGGTGGTGCAGTGGACAGAGTCAGGAAGACCTGAATTCAAATGTGGCTTCAGATACCATCTGTGTGACCCTAGGCAAGTCACTTAACCCTGTTTGCCTCAGTTTCCTCATCTGTAAAATGAAGTGGAGAAGAAAATGTCAAACCCCTCCAGTATCTTTGCCAAGAAGACCCCAAATGGATTCAGACATGACTGAAACAGCTAAACAACAGAAGGAAAAAATACCCTCATTTTAGAGACAAAAAATTATTAAACAACAACAAATTATGTACTACGTACTGCGCTAAGTGTTGGAAGATAGAAAGATGGAACCATTGACCTTGAGGAGTTTACATTCGCGTCTTAACTGTTAGGAAATTTTTCAAGTAGAATGTGCCTTTCTGTGACTCCTCTCCAGAGTTCTGTCCTCTGAGGCCAAGCAGAACAGGTCAAAGACAACTATTTTGTCCCCTAAAGGTCTTTTCTTGTAAGTCAAATATCCCCAGATGATTCGACCAGTCTTTTTGTAGTGCAGTTTCGAGTTCCTTCACTACCCCAACTGTTCTGTGGGCCTGTTCCAGCTCGTCAGTGTCTTTCCTAAAACGAGGCCTGACTTCAGACAGCCGAGGATGATGGAGCTTCCCTCGCTCTGGTTCTGTTAATGCAGGCAAAAAGAGATTCAGAAAGGAGCTCAGGGAAAGGCCATAGATCATCCCTTCTAGTCTGTTCTGAGGGCTTCCATCCCCTCAGGAATCTCAGAGAAAGCTGAGGATCCTGCATTATTCTCACTCGATTCTAGGTGGCAGTGGTACCTAGCAAAGGTTAGAAATAGGTCGCAAATTCACCTCTGTAAGAATATCATCTCTTTTTTTATGTTTTTTTTTTAATTTTAGGGATTTTGTGAGAGCTTTTATCCAGTTTAAGAAGCCAATTGTGGTTGCTATCAATGGGCCTGCTCTGGGGCTGGGCGCGTCTATCCTGCCCCTCTGTGACATCGTCTGGGCCAGTGAGAAGGCCTGGTTTCAGACACCATATGCAACCATACGCCTCACTCCTGCCGGATGCTCCTCGTATACATTCCCACAAATCCTCGGTGTTGCTCTGGTAAGACTCTTTGTTTTGTGATTGTCTTAATGATCTTTGCCATCACCTGATTGTTTTTTCCTGTTCATTATTGATTAGTTGATATTGATCAACTGTTGGACATGGGGGGTAGGGAACTGAATTTAGATTCTGCTTCAGATGCTTGATCGGTATGTGACACTGGGCAGGTCCCATAGCATCTCTCAGCCTCAGTTTCCCTATCTGTAAAATGGGAATAAAAAACAGTACCTATTTCCCAGGGTTGTTGTGAAGAACTGATGAGACATATGTAAAGTGTTTTGCAGATGTTAAAGTGACAGATAAGGCAGCTCCTATTTCTGTAATGTTTTATAATTTACAAAGAGCTGTCCTCCCAGTGACCCTGCCACGTAGGTAGGTTGAGTAATGCTAGCCTAATTTTACAGCCCAGGAAGTCAAAGTTCAGAGAGGATGGAGTGACTTGTTTGTGCTGACCTTGTATCACAACTAAGGTTCAGACCCAGGCCTGCTGACCTACAGTCAGGTACATTTTCTACCACATCTTAACTTTTCTTATTCAGGGTTCGAATGAGCCTCTGATCACATTGTTACCTTGCTATGAAGTTGTACATGCAATAGACCCTGGCTGGTCTTCCCCAAGTATGCCAGGAGAACCTGTCACCCAAGACACAGGGTTGCGCTACCACTTATGGACCGCCCCCCCCCAAACAGTCTCCTGAATCTTCCAGGCCACATAGTACCTTTACCTGCCTCCTGCTCAGCTGCGTGGCCTCTGGGCTGAGCTGTTCCTCAGCAGTCCCCAGTACTTCCAACACCCCCCGCAGCTAGCCATCCTGTCCTAAGCCTCCCTCCAGACTCCCTGCAGGGTACTGGGCTGCTTCAAACCCCTCTTTGAGATGGGGCACTCAGTCTCACTCCATACTTTGCTGCTGGTAACTGTCTTGTGACTCCATGGTAAATATGTCTTATAAATGACACTCAAGGACTAGGAACCCAAGTGTGCCACCAGCACTAGGCTCATACCCCAGTCCCAGAGAGAAAAATGGAGTAATCCCACCACTCTGAAGAGTGTCGTTATCTGGGCCCTGCTTGTGTTAACTAACGTTTGTATAGTGGTTTAAGGTTTGCAAAACATTCTACTAATATTATTACATCTTCACAACAACGCCACGAAGTAGGTGCTATTACAATGTCCCATTTTATAGTTGAGGAAACAGAAGTTAAATGACTTGCCCAAGGTTACATAGCTTATAAGTGCCTGAGGCTAGATTTAAACTCAGATCTTCCTAATTGCAAGTCCAGCACTCTATTTACTGTGCCTCTTATGCTTTTTTGATTCCTTTGAAGAAGGGAGAAAGTACTAATAACTTAGGAAATCAGAACAGGCTTCATATAAAAGGAAGCACTTGAACTGTCAGCTTCGAAGAAAGGTAGAGATTCTATAAAGTGGAGATGAGAAAAGAGCACTTCCAGTCATGCTGCAACCATCTGGCCAAGATTCTTTGGAATAGTTCCAATTATCAGGTGGTTTAAATTGAAACTAAAATTAGCCTCTCTGCCCCCTTTGCCCTCTCCTCCCATCTCTGCTCTTTGGGGCCCAGACAGAACAAGTCTGAACCCTCTCCCATGTGCGGTTTGAAGATGCTTCGTGGCAGCCTTCTTTCTCCTCAGGCCAGGATGGACAAAGCAGGAGTCCCTGCATGGTGTCTGAAATCTTCAGCTCCTCCCTTTTCTGTTCCTCCATGGTAAAGGAGAGCCTGGGCACTGGGGGAGGCAAAATGGACATTTTCTGCGGATGCTCAGCTGTTTGACAGGCAGTTAGGCATTCCCACCCATCACTCTGCATACCTGCAGTATGCTCTGCCCTGGTGCATCGCCAGTGGACCGTTTCGTGTGCCAGGCTCATTATTTGTTAAGAAGAACTCTCTTCTTCTCTGACATTTTTATAGAAAGATAATGTCTCAGTGGCTTAGGTGGGAGGAATGCTTAACACTGCTGAGCCTGGGAAAATCATGCCCACCTGGGGAATACTCAGTGGGAGGGAGCATAGAATGGGGCGGGGGAAGAGAAACCATCAAATCCTGGCTGTGCCATTTGCTGGGTAACCTTAGGCAATTTAATAATTGAAGTAGCTCAAAGGAAATGTGAGACACGTAAATTTAAAGGCATCTCCACCCCAAATGTTGCCATGGTCTAGTGGTGCCTGACCTGTGGTAGAGCCTTCCCAACTCGTATTGGTCAGATCGGTCACAGTCAGACACATTGCACCTTGACCACAACATAGTGATGTCATTTTGGTCCTCTTGGAGAACAAGGATGACAACCACCCAGGTTTTGGCAAGAGCATTTGGGTTCTCTGTTTTTCTTCTGTTTTTCCACGTAGAAAATGAAGAGCACCCAGGAAATATGGCCCAAATAATCCACCCTTCCTACTCTTTGATCTTGAATCTTCCCCATTGCTACCAAGGTGGGGGCAGGCCACTACAAACATGAGATGACTGAGGACATCACTGTACCCTTGAAGGCCTTAGGAAACCTCGTGGAAGTCAAGCCTCCTGGTCCTGAAAGGGGGCTGAGCCACAGCTATGGGGAATTATCACTGATGGGTACAGAGCTTCCTTCTCTTCCCTTTCCCAGGATGGGTGGGTGTGAAAACAGTCATTGGTTAAGTTTCCTCTCCACAATGACACAGCCTTGCAACAGCACCCTCCCAAGCTCAAAGGGAGCATCACCAAATTTTGGAGTTGGAAGACCCTTCAAGGGCCATGCAGTCCAGTCCACACCTAAACAAAAATGTCCTCCGTAGTGTATCTTCTTTAGAAGGAGTTCTCGGCATCCACAGTTCTTCTGCAGGGTCCGTGGAGAGGTTTTGGGGGTGTTCACAAACTTGGATGGGGAAAAATGTCATCTTTATTTTTACTGACTTCTAACGAAAGTTTAGCATTTACTTCAGTTATTTAAAACCATTATTCTGAGAAGGGGTCCACAGTCTTTGCCAGGCTACCAAAGGGGCCCATGACACACTGAAAGATTAAGAACTCCCGGTCTATAGCATCCAGTCTTAACATGTAGTAGGAGCTGTAGAAATGCTTATTTCCTCCCTCCCTTACATCTTCCCTAGTTTTGTACTTGTGAAATTAATTTCTTCAATCTGTTATCATTAATCAAATTTCTCTTATTTGCCTCAGCCTGACATGCTAGCTAGCTTGTTAAGAGCTTCTCTCGATCCCAACTCTGTCATTTAGGGTGTTAGCTATCCTTTTTAGCCTTGTGTCCTCTGCAGATTTGAAAAGTGTTCCTTCTAGGCCTCTGTCCATGTCATTGATGAAAATGTGAAACAACACCAAGATGAGATGGATCTTTGGGGTAATACACAAAGAGATGACCTTTGAAATTGACATTGACTCCTGGGTCCATCCATTGAACTGGTTGTGAATCCACCGAATTATACAGCTACCCAGTGCCATGTTTTCCATAAAAAATAATTTGGGATACTTTATCAAATGCTTTACTTAAATCTAAGTGAAATGGAGCTTCAGCATTTCTCTGCCCCATCAGTTTAGTAATTTTGACAACAAAAGAGATTTATTAAGAGCCTACTATGTGCCGGGCACCATGTAACTATTATCTCATTTGAGCCTCACAATAACTATGGGAGGTAGGGCTATTATGATCCCCATTTTACAGTTGAGGAAACTGAGGCAGGCAGACATTAAATGACCAAAAGCTCATAAAGTGTCTGAGACCAGATTTGAACTCAGGTCTTCCTGACTCTAGGTTCAGCCTTCTATCCACTACACCATGTAGGTGCTTCTGAGTAAAAGGTTAACCTGGTGTGACCTATTTATGATGAAACCCTGCTGGCAGTTAGTGACCACTCCTTCCTTTTCTAGGTGTTCACTAAAAAAATCATTAGGTTCATCAACAAGCATTTTCTAAGGGCTCACTGTTTGCATGGGGATGCAACAACAGTCCCCTCCCTCAGGGAGGAGATGATATATTACATATAAAAGCAATTCAACTGGGAGGGACTAGCAGTGTGGTGTTTGAGCAGAAGAAGGAAACCAGGAAATGTAAGAGGCAGAGGGGAGGAGAGAATGCATTCCAACCTTGGGCACAAGGACCAGAGCTGGTAATGTCATGTAGGAGGAACATCGGGAAAAGTAGTTTGTCTGGACCTCAGAGTGCTTGGATGGGAGTCATGTAATAATGCTAGTTAAGAAGGTTGGGGCTAGGCTATGAAGAGCTTTAAATGTCAAGCATAGGGATTTATATTTAATCCTGGAGGTAACTGGGAGCAATTGGAGTTTATTGAGTAGTGGTGTGATATGGTCAGAAGGGTGCTTTAGCAAAATAACTGGTGCTTGTATAGATGGTGGATTCCAGAAGGGAGAGACTTGAGGTAGGAAGATGTTTAATAATACATTCTAGAATCTAGGAACCAAGGTCAAGTTCACTGGCCTATAGTTTGCAGACTTTGTTATCACCTCTATTTTGAAGGAATGAGAATCAAGCAGAGTGGATCCCACTGGCAAATTATGAAGCCCGAATGGGAATGAGAGACCTCTATGAACTTAAACTCTGAAATTCCTCTTAAAACATAACTTCTTATCCTTCCACCTGCCCCTCTGCCTTGTTCTTCTTAAACCTCTTCTTATCCTCAGTGACCTCTGGTCATTCTATGTATTTCTGCTTTCCCAGTCCATTGTCCCGATCTGGTTTCCCTTTCCTCCTTTTCCAATCTTGACCCTAGAGTTGCCTATCTCCAGTTCAATATTAAACCCTATCTTAGATTCTCTTGTCCCCTTATCTTACTACTGTTCTTCCTTTTCTAAACCTGTCTTCTCTTCACTTGTACTGTTGAATGCCACTGAAGGAACTTATACAACTACTCTGATCAGGTCCACTATGGATTTACGTTATATATTCTCAATTAAGCCTTCACTGCTGAGTAACAATCCTTTTACTCATCCCTTTATTGGCTGTCTTTTGAAAGCCTCAACCTTCTCTTGCTTCCTCATGACACTTCTAGTATCCTTCCTCTCTCCCTTTCAGTAGAAGACAGAGAAAATAGAGGACATCTATCATAAAACTCCCTCCTCTCCCCAATTTTATACCTTCCATCTCTTCCTCAAGGAGTTAACATCCTATCAAGGGAGTTGACATATATACATATAGAAGTATATAAAAGTAGTTTGACAGGGGGAAGAACTAGCAGGGTGTTGACATTGGCCATTGGATCCAGTCATTGAACTAGTGGTGAATCCTCTTAATTAGCCAATCACCCAGACCCATGTATTCCATAAGAATATCTTAAGATACTTTATCAAATGCTTCACTTAAATATAAGTGAAACAGAGTCTCACCATTTGTCTGGCCTGACATTTTAGTAACTTTGACCACAAAAAAGCATTTATTAAGTATGTCATCCCTCATTCTCTTCTTTTTTACTTTAGTCTTTGAGGAAGAGGTAGCCTTCTCCTTATTAAGTAAGGCAAACCCCTTTATTTGTGCCCTTGATCCTATCCCCTTCCACCTCTTATTGTAGCTTGCCCTTTCAATCATCTCGCTCAAATTCAGGATGTTTTTTTTCCTATTGGCTTCTTTTCTTGCTACCTTTGAGTGTGCCAGATCTCACCCATCATTAAAAAACTTTCACTTGGAACTTTCATCCCCTTAGGCCATTGTCCTGTATCTCTTCTTCCTTTCGCAGCCAGACTCCTAGGGAAAGGCATCTGCATTCCTTGCTTCCACTCCGTCACCTCCCCATCATCTCTCAGTCCCTTACCCCAAGGAGATCTGACTTTATTTGAGATTTTGTTTCAATGCCTCATGAGATGAAAGTCTAGAGCCAGAGAAAAAGAAATGGGTAATCTCTTTATTTCGTCCTTAACAGAGTCCATTTGTAACAGTTGAGAACTTGTCCCATAGAAAGAAACATTAGTTAATAGGTTTCTACCAACATAATGATCTGGCCTGCTCTCCAGCAGAAATGATGTGTTTAGTTGATTTTCTTCACTATTAATAGAATTTACATGGATTACAATATTGGACTTAAAGTGACCATAGATAATAGCAAGAGTATGGGCATTAACTTTAAATATATATAACATATATATGTATAGAAAGTATAATATATGTATATATATAATATATAACATTATATATGCACACATATTAGGCCATGACTTCTTGATCTCATAGGTATAGATGCACATCTATACACACGTGCCATAGCCTATGTATATGTATATTAGGCTATGGCTATCTATATATGTATAAATAGATACATATAGATATATACATTTGTGACTTCTTGATCTCACATATATAGATCTTGATCTGTATATTATCTATATTAATATACACATATGTGTGCCATAGATTTATATATATGTGTGTACATATATATATGTGTATATTAGGCTATGGCTATGTGTATGTATCTATATGTGTGTGTGTGTGTATATATATATATAATACATATATATATATATATATATGTATATGTATTTGTTATAGCTTCTTGATCTCACTTTCCTTGTCTGTACCATGACATTATCAGACTGGATGGTGTCAGAAGTCCTATCCAACTCTAAGCCTGTGATCCCATTATCCCCTGGTCTTTTTTTACACCTTCCCTCCACCTTTATGGACTTTCTTATTTCTGATGAGGTCAACACCATCCTTCCACTCACCCAAGTTTATAACCTTGGAGCCAGTCATCTTTAATTCTTTACTGTTTCCCTCCCTCCCTCCCCTGATATCTAATCATTTGCCAACTCTTGTCTATCTTAACTTCCACAAATATTTCTTATATCCATCCCCTTCTCTCCACTCACATGGAGTATGCTCATAAATATTCCCAGATTTCCGGGGGAAATTAAAAAAATGTGCTGTGACATACTTTTAAATTTAATCAACATTATTAATATTTTCTCCATCACTTTCTTAAGTCTAGACAATCCACAGAACAATAAATCAAGCCCTGATTTGTGGTACTTGCAGATTTTCTGGGGTGTAAATTCTCAACCCTAACAATTTAACAATTGCCTCTCCTGACCTTGCTCCAGCCCACTTCTGGTCACACTCTAGTCTAGTTCATGCAATCACCACCTATTGCCTAGGCTACTGAAGTAAGACTCCTGATTGGTTTCCATTCCTCCAGGTTCTCCCCTCCCTATGCCTCTAATGAGCTGACAAACAAGGTTCCTAAAGCACAGATCAGACCAAGAAGCTCCAGTGGTTTCTTGTTACTTCTGTGATAAAATATAAAATATTCTCATCTTTAAAGCCCTCCAGTCTACCTTTACAAGCTCACTGCACATGACCCCCTTTTATCCGTTCTCTGTACCAGCCCAACTGACCTACTTGCTGATCTCCATTCATTCTATTCCATTCCCCGCTACTGAGCCTTTCATGGGCTGTTCCCTATGCCTGGAAAGCACTCCCCATTCATCTTTGCCTTTCAGATTCCCTCGATTCCTTGAAGGCTCAGTCCAGGTGCCACTTCCTAAAGAAAAGAAAAAAAAAAGACTTTTCCTTATTTCCACAGTTAGTGTTTCCTGACCTGCAATTTTTTTGTATCCATTTTGTGTTTAGTTTCTGTCAACGTGTTTCTCCCTAATACAATGTAAGCTGCTTGCAGGCTAGGAACGTGCTCCTTTTGTTTCTATCTCCCTTGCATCTAGTGCAGTGTCTTGTCCAGAATAGATGCTTAACAAATGTTTGTTAAATTGCAAATGAATTGAATCCATCTTTTAAGCAGCAGAGCCACGATTTGAGTCTGGGTCCTCCTGTTTTAAATGCAATGTTCTTTCTACTCCAAACCTGCATTCCTTTCAGTACACTGTTCTCTAAGTCCCTTTAAGACCAATCTATGACCCACTTTCATACTTTCTGTCTGTCTCTAACAGCCATATTCAGGCAAATGCTATATTTAGTGCCAATAATTAGGATAGAGGAGTTACCTCATCTCAGAAGTGCTTTAGAAAAGGGAGGTAGCTTGGTAGTCAAAGGACCTGGGTTTGAATCTTGACTGTTATTTACTGTGTGTGTGTGTGTGTGTGTGTGTGTGTGTGTGTGTGTGTGTGTGTGTGTGTGTGT